AAAAATGGTGGATCCCCTCTGTTCTATCAGTGAGTACTTCTCTTGTTCTTGTGTTTTTGGTACAGGTGAAACTTTACAGGTACTGGAAAGTGGATAAGCAGTTGCAGAGGGAGAGGGCAGACGGACGGGCCTTAACTCGGTGCATTCAGGAGTTGAGGATGAAGGGGGAAAGCTTTGATCTGTCTACAGAGCCTCAGATTGGGAAGAGAATGAAGAGTTCCAGTGTGGAAATTAAATGGAAGCCTCTCACTTGGTTTTCTCAGTATAGACTCACTATTTGTCTTGTGTGTTTTACTGGCTTGATCTTCTCTGCCTGTAGATTCATCCTCTGTGCCTAAATTCTCGAGACCAGCCCGAAGAGGTAAAATTTTAACCAATGTTGGATTCTGTTTGTCACGGGATTTGATCTGGTTATTAATTTTCGTCAATACTTCTCCTTAATGGCATTAAAGAATTTATGCAGATCAAGATCAGGGAATACAGCAGTTACTTCTCTCCATTTCTTACAAGGGATGAAGCATTATGGTCCGATAATTCCACCAATTCATGAGTTCTCACAACAAGCAGACAAAATCCTTATGGTGTCAAAAAAGAAAATCACAAGACCCTCCACAATGTATCGGAGATTTGATCCCTCTTTAAGACAAAGATTCCCTGGTTCTAATCGTAAGCCGAAAGGGAAATACTTATTCCCAAGAACCTCAGCTGGAGCTTAAAATTTGGCTACTTCAAACTCTCCTCTTCTTGTTGATCCTTGTTTGTTTAATATCCTCCTTTCTTCATTAGTTGGTGGATATGGTGGTATAAACGTTGTTTTGTATGTGGACAATAATTTGACACTAGTTTAACAACACAAATTGATGTTAAACCACAAATAAAGATGGTAGAACCACAAAATAAGAAGAAGAAGAAAATTAGATGAAATGATCCGAGGCAAGTATACACTCTTTCCTCAAGACAAATTTGTCCACAATCGTCGCTAATGGAGTAATGGCAATTGTCTAACAAGATACAACGGGAAGCACTTCCAACTATAAGGCAACAACGAACTCGAACGGACTCTCTATAAGCCAACAATGAACTCGAACGGACTCTCTACTCAGAATGATTTTGAATCAAAGTTTGCGATCATAGGTGCTATCATAGGTGCTGAAACATCAATTTTCATCTCTTTTAAACCAAATTCCAATACTCACAATTGAGACGGCAGACTTTTTCCGTAAATTCAGCACCGTGAGTTTTAAACTAAATTGAAAATGCATCCGTCCGTCGAATTGAATGAAGATTTTCAAATTTTGTCATTCAGTCTTGGAACCAATCTTATTTTTAGTGTTGAAAGTTCCTTGCGCTTATGGGGAATTGAAGATTTCATGAAAAGTTTGAGTTGTCGTACGTTGTATGGTATAGAAAATTCTTACATTATCTGCGATATTTTCTAGCATTGCAAAATTATTATAATA